ATACATACATACATATATGCTTTGACCATAAGAAATTTAATTTATGAAACATTTAAAAATACAGTTTAGGGGCCAGGGATTTAGCTCAGTGGCTCAACTGCCTGCCTAGCAAGCTCAAGAACCTGAGTTCGATCCCTGGTACCAAGGGAGTGGGGAGGAAGTAAAAATACAGTTTAAAACTTTCAAACTCACATAATTTGTACCAAGCAATAAAAATATTGTCCAGAGACTAGCCTAATACATAAAAAGATATAAATTATGTGCCTCTCAATTAGGTTCCTAAATTGGTGGTAAGCAGTTGGTTGTGACGGGTATTATACTAATAAAGTATCATGTCACATTTATAAGAAATAAGATCCAGGGCCAGGGATTTTAGCTCAGTGGTGACTCTGCCTGCCTCACGAACACAAGGACCTGAATTTGATTCCCGGTACAAAAAATAAAAAGAGAAAGGAGATCCATAATAATCGTGAGAACTAGATATTATTTTCATTTTGTATGTAAGGGAACTATGTGTAAGTAACCTGCATTAAGTCACCTAGATAGTGAATGATGGAGCTGGGAGAGATAAATTCTGCAAAATGTCTTTCCAGGTATAGTGTCTAGCTTATTAAAACAAAGCTCATGAGATCTGAAAGTCACACTTTTTGAGGAATCTGGGTGGTGGTCTACGAGGTTCTTGCTTTATTATTTTCCTAGAAAGAATCTAAATATTCTGGCTTTCCAGAATTTAGGTGACTCAAAATTCATATTTTTTATACACAAAATAAAATTCAGATCCTGACAGGCTGAAAAAAAAGTTAACCAGGCTTTCTCTAACTCCTTTATCTCTTCTCCTAAAAAATAACCCAACAAAAAACTCAAGTAAATACATATTTTTAAAACTGTTAGTCTGGCAAACATACTATTACATCAATTAACTTGAAGAATATAAAATAAAGCTCTCCCAATTGGACTGAAAAATAATGTAAGGGGAGACTTCAAGGAGAAATTTGGACTACAAAACAGGGTAGTTGGAAAAGCATGTTCTTTGGAATTAAGCCTCCCTGAATCCTAACTGCAATTACACACTGTAATCTCTAGGCAAGGCACTTAATTATTTGGAGCCTCAGTTTTCTCATCTGAAAATAGTAGTATTCATATAATTATTTGCAGTAATTTTATAAATGGTATTATAATTATTTGGTGTAATTTTAAATATATTTTATGTTATATTGTAGTGTAAATCTCTCCCCTTTATATGTAGATCCTAAATGTGGTGCCTTTTCATGGTGATATATTTCATCCTAATTCTTGGAAGTATTCATGGTGTCTTTGAAATCAAAACCCTGAAGCAAAAATGAATATTGTAAGTTGTTAGGAAATACATCTTAATTGCTGAGATAGCAGAGAATGCTACAGTTCAGATTTTGGAGTTTTTAAGTTAATAAATTTATGGTTAAATGTATATCTCTGCATTTATGTGTTTTGATATTAATTGTTTTATCTACTATTATATAGTTTCATCTTATTCTTTATTCTTCATCTTTATTCTAGCTTTATGATGAAACTATATATAATTCATTCCTTCATGGAGGGCATACATGTTCTCTGTACATATTCAGAAATAGACAAATTTGAAATTAGATATTGGCATATACATGAAAATATTTAGGGATACACATATATTTTTAAATTGTATATGGGTGGGAATATAAACATATGAGTGACTAGTACTTAGGAAAGAAAATATTAGTGGGCTGGTTCTTGAGTTGTCTTTGAAAGTAGGGGTTTAATTTTTTAAAATTTATCTTTGAATCACTAATGTTTAAAACTCATACTTAATAAATGTTCCATACATATTTATTACCTATATGAATCCATGCATTAATGAGAAAAATATACAAAGAGAGAATACAAAGCGTTACATAATAGGTTATAAATGGAAACTATTCAGTGTATTCAGTTAATAATTTTATGCTGACCATATTTGTAGCGGCACAGTTTGTAATAGCTAAAACTTGGAAACAGCCCAATTGCCCATCAGTTGGAGACAGGATAAAGAAAATGTGGTTTTTCTATAAAATGGAGCACTACTCAGCCATGAAGAATGAGAAACTAGAGTCATTCATAGGAAAATGGTTGCATATTGAGGCCATAATCTTAAGTGAAATAAATAAGACACACAGGTGTAAATACCAAATAGTTTCTCTGGTGTGAAAAACTGAAAGTGTAAATAAGATCCAAATTGTATAACTGACAATGTGAAATAGGAAGAAAAGGGCTAAAGGAGTAGGGGAAGTGAGAAGGGTAAGGGAAAGGAAATAAGGGAAAAGAAAAAATATGAGAAAAGGGAAAAATGGAAACAAAGTGTTTGTAAATAGGAGAGGGAGGAGGGGTGAAGAGAGGGCAGGGTTAAGGGGAAAAAATGAGAACCAAGACCTGTCATGTAAAGGTACAAGATCCCAAGGATGAATGTAACTGTACTGTATACTTAAAAGGTACCAAAAAACTCAATGAAAAAAAAAAATAATTTTATGCTCAAAGGTTTGCTTTCTTTATCCAGAGCCAAATAATTTCCTACTGGGGCTACCCTGATGAAGAATATAATATCATAACTGAAGATGGTTATATCCTTGGCCTTTATAGAATTCCTCATGGGAGGACAAACAAAAATAATTCAGGTAATATTTAAATGCAGATAGACTGATGACAGTCTGGGGCCTGAAGGTCTTAACTTTTATATTTCCAAGGAAATATAACTGAGGAAATAGAAGGATTTTAAGATTAAGTGAACTTCTACTGCATATTCCTGCATTTTGAGAGCTACCCTATCCATATCAGATCAAAGTTGTTATGCTTGTGCATGTAGAGTTAAAAAGGACATGGGGGTATTAAAAAATGCCTGAGCGGAGAGAGTCACTTCTGTGGACCTAGTAAGTTTAGAGAAATCTACGATTGATGTTTTTGAAGTTCTTCCCAACAATACTTATCTTAATACTCACCTTAAAACTCAAGAGCCCACTTTGACCTATTGTGGCCCTAAATATAGAATAAATTATGCCCAGTGCCAAGAACTCAACTTTTCTGCAGTTCTATTATTCTTACAAATGGTTCTGACCAAAAATTTCAACTCTATTTTTCCTCAAACTCCAGGGCATGCAGGTGTTTAGATGCTACCAAGGAGGCCTTACGACTTTCACATTATATTTTCACGGGTGACTGTTTGCCTGAGCCTGTTATTTCTTATCTTCAAAATATTAGCACTCAGCAACAACCACTCAATCCCACAGACTACGCAATTCCATATACTCCCTATCTCTCAACTGTCAGAGACGCTGTAAAAACCATTCAGTCCTTTTCCGGATTTAATCCTAGTTCACTACAGGTGACATCCTAGCCATTGGAGTACTACAACATGCAAGCTTCGAGTACTCCACCTACAACCAGTGATAGGATGTTGCTCACCATCCTGTAAGTAATTCAATTCCATAGTCCTGTTCTGAATCGTCTTCCTCCTTGATCACACAGTGGTAATTCTTAGGTTAATTTCCCTAGAAACAGACAGAAATTCTTATGGGATTCCATGGTGATCGTCAAGACATGAATTTGGCTGCACAAGATTGTTTGAGGGAATCTCGGGGATAAGGTGATGGGGGAAGCAGAAGAGAGCAGAGGAAGGGGTTAAGAAAGGGTAATTGTGACTTTAGTGTTTATTTTTAAAGATTTATCATTGCTCCTTTCTCTGCTGAAATTTCCCTAAGGCAAAAGGAGATTCTCTTTAGGCAGTAATTATCTGATATGGAATGCAGAAAATTGGCTCCTGAATTTCAGAGAGTGATAGGCTCTGTGGTTTTCTTTATATTCTAGCCTCAGGCTGTTGACTTCATTTCTTACAGAATATGAAGTAGATCAGAGTCATCTAGCTGTGAGGCAAAGAATTCAGCATTTTCCCTCTTTGTATCTCTTAGTCAAAGTATGGATTTGTCTGCTTCCTACCCCAGAGTGGGGACTGCCTTATAGCCAAATTTACATTATTTGAAATATGTAATTTTTCAAAATCCCTTGAAGTACAGGTTAAAGCTCTGGGAAGTCAGGTGGCTAAAATAATGGCTGTTATGCATGACATCAATATTGAATATGCATGTGAAAAATATAATCTTAAGATTGTTTTATGAAATGTGGAAGTGGGAAAACCAAATAAGAGATGTTCATGTAGCTACTATATGATTTATAAGGAAATTTTCTGCAATTTTTACCTAGCAAGGAGGCTTGTTGTTTACTTGCAACATGGTTTGCTTACATCTGCCAGCAATTGGATTTCCAATCTTCCAAACAATAGCCTGGGCTTCATTCTGGCAGATACTGGTTATGATGTGTGGATGGGGAACAGCAGAGGAAACACCTGGTCTAGGAAACATACGTCCCTAGAAACAAATTCCCAAGAGTTCTGGGCTTTCAGGTACAAATAAAATAAAGTAACTTTCATTTTACTTTTAAAATATACTAATCATTTAATTCTCATTCTGGGGAAGATAAGATATAAGTCTCGCTCTTTTCTCAATTAAGTACTTTCTATAGACCATAAAAATTTTTGTAAATTTTAGCTTGAAAGTTTAGAATGCTCATTTGATTATGACCTTGTTACTCATTTTTCATCAGTACGTTTTATTTCTTCATAGGTAACTTATTGACTAACCCATTCTATTTTACCTGCTTTTTCCTTGGTAACTTATGTATTGGATCTACCCCACTGTATTTACAACATACAAATACCCTCTTTATAAGACTTCTTGGGATCATATTTCTTTAGATTCCCCACAGAAGTTTATATTGTATATTGTACATTATCCCATATAACTTCTTGATGGTACTCAAAGCGGATTGAAGATTGCCTTTATTCATTTACCTATTCAGTATCTCCAAATGTTAATATAACACTAGAAGGAAGTACAATTTTTATTTTCCTGTTTATTTTGTAGTTTCTATGAAGTGGCTAAATATGACCTTTCAGCTTCCATCGATTTCATTGTGAAGCAAACTGGACAAAAAGAAATATTTCATGTAGGCCATTCACAGGGCACTACTATTGGTATGCTAAAGAACAGTACTGCTATGTTCATGTTAATGGCTTTAAACGAACAATAGTATATAATGTTTAATATCCTAGGAAGGCAAGAAGTTTTAAAATAAAAATAAATATTCAAAAATATTTTACATTTATTTACTCTTACCTGAGGTGTAAAATTCATATATGTGACAATTATACTTATCTCATTTTCATCATTGCTAGTTATACAAGAGGCCAGTATTTCTAATTTTTATTCAATATAATTAACCTTGATTTTAAACTATAGTGCTTCAAGTCTGCCTTACTTCTAAATTGTCATCCTTTATAATTCTCTCTACAACGCTATGTGTGGTCAATATACTGTCACTAGGTGACCAAAAATATTTAAGTGATTGAGCAATGGATAAATAGTCAATTGGTCAAAGACTATTTTTGAACCTACTCTTATTCTCTATGATGTCATTTTACACACTAGTAATTGCTTAAGAATAGTTTACTAATTTATATACTATTTTCTTTCAGCTTTCATTGCATTTTCGACAATACCAAAGATAGCTGAAAAAATCAAAATATTTTTTGCCTTAGCACCAATTTTTTCTATTGAACACACAAAATGCCCTTTAATTAAAATGGCAAATAAGTTTAAGTCAGTAATCAAGGTATGTTCTACCTTACTTTTGTGTAGTTGATAAACTAATGTAACAATGATACTGTGCTTTCAATTTATGTTTATACAACCACATATTTGAATTGGGGTTTTAGTTTCATTTTCACTGGTCTCTTGTTTTTGTTTCTACAAGGAATAAAGTATTAGTTGTTATATCTTTAGATAACTCATTGTAAGAGAAAACCTAGTGGTGAAAACCATTTCTAAACCTGATTCCAAGTTTATTCGTTAATGTAAAGTTTCTACACTACTAAAAGATAACTCAAATTGATTGTATATATAGTAAATTCGCCATATAATTTCTTAATACATTATTGTGGTCTTAGCCAGTCATGGTGGTGCGCACCTGTAATCCCAGTACTATGATAGGCTGGGGAAAGAGCATCATGATTTAGAGGCTAGCTTGGGCTAGAGAGAGAGTTCAAGGTCCACCTGGAACATAGTGAGACCCTGTATCACAAAAAAATATGCTATTAAGTGAAAAAATAGCTACATTAAAATTGTCATGGTCTTCTAAATGTGAGTAAATTTATTTTACAGGCTTTTTCTGACAATAAAGACTTTCTACCTAAAACTTCACTTAACAGTTTTGTCGGTTCAAAGTTCTGTTCACTACATAGTTTTGATAAAATTTGCCTCAACATTTTGTTTATGATATTTGGATCTGACCCAGGGAACTTAAATATGGTGAGAACAAGTTGCATTTCAAATGTATCTCTGCCAATTTTAGAAAGCAGCTCTAAGTGCTTGTTTTATGCATTATGTCATTTATGATTCATCTACATATACAAGTAGTAACATATACTAATAGTTAGATTCTTAGCCTGATTTTATGACTATATCAACATTGTGCACCTAATTTGCATGAGCATGCTGAGATAATTTTGATTCCATATTTGTCTTGCTATCTATAAAGCTTTCTAAAGCAGCTGCTCTGATGAGTATCTTCAGCAGCTTTTTCTTTTGGGCCTTAGTTTCCTGAGATGTTTTATATTTAGATTGTCTAGTCATCTGTTTTCCATAACTCTTCTTCTTATGCCCTGGTTCTTAACATTCCTCCCCTTCTTTTTTTATCCTTTCATAATTAGAATTAGTGCCTGTCAGTTATCAAAGCTTCTAGCATTCATCAGTACTCTCAGAGTGTTGTGGTACTCAAACTATTATTAAGACTCTTTGGATTGATTGTATATATGTTCTCGTAAAGCTGTAGGCATGCACTCCAAGACTTTCTGGTAATATTAAATAAGTTCAGATTTGGCATAGTCAATTGTAGCATTTGGATCGTGGCTGGTTCTTGTACCTAAATCTTTTTAGAACTTCCCAATAAGAGCTAATGAGCACATTTTTTCTCTTAGTTCTCAACTACATTCTCATGCCAGGAAGACATGTTGATTTTATTCAGTCTCAAGAAAGTGTTTTCTCATTCCCTAAACACTATATAGGCAATTACAGGAATATGAAAAAAATGTTTCACAATATAAAACTTGAACTCACTTCTCACCTTTTTGCCCATAAAGTAAGAGAAATGTACTTTTTGATATAAAAGGTATAGAGAATGACATTCATATCTCCTCTCCACACTGTTATCATGCACTTACTATGAAAAGCTTGGAAAATGATAAAAAAAATTATTCTTGCTTGCCTTATTCATTCATTTTATATTTTATGTAGTACGGTTTTATATTTGTTGGAATTTCTTCTAGGACAGAAGTTGATAGTGTGTAGGTTGTAATGTAGCTGTATCTTAAATCATCTGAGACTGTAGAAAGTTAGAAGTGGAAAAATTTCACAGAGCACTAAGGAACAGTAAGAGCAATGCTATAGTTAACTTTGCATGAGTCCACTTGAGCCTATCACTTACAATTCCCTTTTCTTACACTTCTTGTTCTCACTGAGGTATCTGCTTGTGAGGCCCTGTTTCAGTGAATCGTGAACCTGTATTCATCTGCCTGTCTCGCCACAGATGTGTCCTGTTGTCTCAGTATTTGGATGACTCTAAGAAGAATGGTTGATTTTCAGATGTTTAGCTTTCTACTTGTTAAAGATGGAGTGGTGACTTCCAAACTCCTTCCATGCTGGACCAGAAATAATAATTTATGTTCCTCTCAGTTTTTAAGGTTATTTTACTTATTGTATGTGTGTTCGTGTTGCTTAGGAGTGTTAATTTTTTTCTATGATAATTTTAAAGAAATTTTTCCTGTCTCTGGTTTCCACAGCTTCAAATTAGCCATAAATTTCATAGTTATATGTTTCAGGTAATGTGTCTTAATGTATCTTTTTTCTTGACATCTTTAATATTTTCTGTCTTTCTTTTCTAGCATTTTGACTGATATTTGCCTAGGAATAGATGGGGTCTTTTTCTTTGTTATATTATTTGGAGTTTACTGAACTTCTTTCATTAGATTTAGAAATGTCTCAGCCAATATTTTTTATTTTTTTCTCTTTTTTTAATTTCAAGTGTCTGTTTACACAAACAATGGACCATTTGACACTGCCTGACATCTTTCTTTTCTCTGTTTTATTTTTTCCTCTATTCCAAAGTTTGAATATTTTCTCTGAGGTTGTATTTGGGTTTATTAGTACTGTCTTGCCAGTTCCTTAATGGTGTATGCATGTGTGTCAGTTTTGATTATTTTATGAGGGGACATGAAATAACTTAGAAATATAATTATAGTTTCTACATTAATGTAAATTTTTTAGAATTTAAAAGGAACATGTATATATTTAAAATATAATTTGACTTGTTTTTATTGATATTATTTCTTAAAAATTGACTTTCACTTAATTCATTAAATATCAAAATTATGCTTTCTCTGATTGAACTAAGTATGAAATGTTTTATTTACCCCTCAGAGTCGTTTGGATGTATACTTTTCACATAACCCAGCAGGAACATCTGTTCAAAATATGGTCCACTGGAGTCAGGTATAGCAGTTAAAGTGCATTTCAACATAATTTATAATACTATGGCTTACTTTATCATTCCATGGTTCAGGCCATTGCCACAGAATGGCAAATTTAGTAGGATAAAATAAAATAATTCTGTATTTATATAATTCTTTATAATTTATGAAATGTGTTAATGTCATAATCTGTTAGTTCCTCTAAACTCATCAGTGAACTCATCAGAGCAGTATAATTCTCTACATTTTAAAAATGAGAAAATGTTAGTCAGAACAATAGACAAGAGAGGTTCTGTCCCACGGCCTTCATTAACTGCCCAAAGATTCAAAGATTCAAAGGTAAGATTAGAGCGCAGTTCTCCTGATGCCTAGTCTGGAACACTTTCTACAGGCTCCAGTTTCTCCTCTCTTTAGTTGTGAGCTGCTTGAGGAACACAAGTAGATTTTTGTATTTCCAAAGCCAACATTTCTTGGCATATAGTAGCTACTTAACTAATATTTGTTCAGTGACTGATATTGATAAAGGGAAAAATCCAGTGTAAATGTAATCTTAATGTTGAAAGCCAGGATAATGTAGTAGAAAGAGCACTTTCTTGAGAACAAAGGACCAAACATTAAATTGTTTCTTTGAACTTTCTTGGCAACAAGACATTGAACGTCTCATTTAACCTTTCTGAATCATTTCTCAATTTTTAAAATGGAATGATTTGCTGTCCTAACAAAAATATGAGAATTAAACAGAATAATTATGAATATACTTTAAAGTCAGTGAGTACTAAATAAATTTAAACTATCGTTATTATATTAGACAAGGTTTTCTCAATGTTAATATGTGCTTATGAAATAATTGTTTTGATGTAAATTATTAAAATACTATAATTTAGATTTAGTTTATCCATGATGATTGCTGCATTAGAGAAATCTACACAAAATTTGTTTTTGTTCATGCATTATAATATTTATCAGGCGGGGCCGGGGATTTAGCTCAGCGGTTCGGTGGCCTGCCTTGCAAGCGCAAGGACCCGAGTTCAATCCCCAGTACCAAAATAATAATAATAATAATAATAATAATAATAGTAATATTTATCAGGCACTTACCATATGCCTTTATTGTTCTACGTTCATGGAATATACCGATGTATAAAAGACTCCTATTTTTCTGAAGGGGGAGGAACCAGTACCAATAATAATAATAATAATAATAATAATAATAGTAATATTTATCAGGCACTTACCATATGCCTTTATTGTTCTACGTTCATGGAATATACCGATGTATAAAAGACTCCTATTTTTCTGAAGGGGGAGGATATGGTCCTAACAAAGATCAAGCTGGCCCCCTTACAAAGGAAAATAAGGTTTGAGCAACAGAAGAGGCTACAGATCCTAAAAGGTTCAGTCTGCCCTGCCAGGAAAAGCACAGGGGCCAGTCTTATGGAGTGCCGTGGTGGCTGGGGCCTGTTAATCGTTATCTCAATGCTAGTTTCACAGTTCTTGGGGAATTCTTATGGCTTGAAGTGCACTTCGTTTCCCATGAGATGACTGTTCCTGAGAGAGGCCTTAGTTCTCATCATGGAGCAAGTGTTCTCGCTTGGGCATGACCTCATTGTGGGGTGGTCTGAAAGACAGCTTTTCCTGGAGTCCAGGATGACGGAAGGTTGTGGACATTGGCTGGAGATTTCGAAGCATTGCTTCAGATGTTCTGCAACTGGACATTATAAAATCTGGAAATTGAATATCGGTGCAGATTCTGAAAATTACTTTAGTTACTCTTATTTTGTTGCCGTTAGAAGGGGGATGAAATAGGCTAGGTAAATCTAAGATAGATAAGTTTTGTATTAGTGACACTCCCTAAGAGATTAACATGCTTACATGTAGAACAGATCAGTTTTAAGATAATAAAGGAAACAAGGAATGAAGACAGAGATGCCAGTGTTTCTCCTGCTTTTAGTTACTCTTTGAACATCTTAAGTCCAGCCTCTAGATCCCTGTTATAACAGGCCTCAGTGAGTTGGTATCATTTGAGGAAAGGTTTCAGAGAAATGAGAGAATTATCCCTCTAGACATTGGGTATATCTTACTCCGTTCAGGCTGCTGTAATAAAGTATAAATCAGATAGCTTATAAACAGTACAAATTTATTTCTCACAATTCTAGAAGCCTTAAAAACCCAGATCAAGCAACTGGCAGCTTCGTTGTCTGGTGAAGGATTGTTTTCTCATTCCTAGATGGCACCTGCTAATACTGCCATCTCAGTGGTTAAGATTTCAACATATGAATTTGGAAAGACACAAATATTCAGGTCACAGTATGGGAATGAGCATTCCAGATAGAGGAAAGAGCCAATGCAAAACCCCCTATTGAGGAACATTTCTCAGAGGCACTTAAGGAACAAATGCATCTAAAGTAAGGAGTAAGAAAGAGAGTAGTAGGAAAAGGCAATACACAAATAATCCAGGATCAGTTGGGATTTGACTTCTTTCTATGTGAAATTTCACACTGAAATTTCAAGAGCCTTTACGGTCTTCATTTCCATGAACTTTCTGGTCTTCTAATCTCTGACCAGAATCACCCATCAAGATCAGTTTATAGCATTCTAGGACTTCTCTAGACCACATATCCAAACTTTCCACACTCCTCCAGCAAACCAGTCCAAAAGCTTTTGAACCACATAGTCAGATATAGTCACAGCCATGCCTTCAATTCTCTAGTACCAATTTTCAATATTAATCACTTTCCCATCTCTGAGACAAACCCCAACACCCACAGTTTAAGTGAGGAGAGGTTTAATTTTTGATTCATAGTTCAGGGAATTCAGTCCATATATGGCTGACTGGCTGCAAGCCAGAAATATCATGATGGAAGTGCGTGATGGAGGAAAAGTGCTCCATAGAAGACAAGAAGTAGAGAGAGAAGGAAGAAGCTGAGTCAATATACCTTACAGGCTGTGTTCCTAGTGACCCACCTCCAACAAGGCCCCACCTCCTAACAGTACCTTCAGCCACAAAGTCATTGATTTACTAATCCCTTAATGAGTAGAGCACCCCCATGATCACCTTCCAAAAGTCCTACCTCTGAATATATAAGACTTTTTCAGGGGGATGAATTTTAGATCTAAACCTAACAGTTGCCCAGAAGTCTGGGTGAAGAAATGAACTAGGGAATTATAATTGCTAAGCAAGAGTAATGGTCTACATGAGGTTTGTAACAAGTTTAAAGTGACTTCATATGCACAGGTTTGGGTTTTCCTTTTATTCAGTCTCTTTAGTATAGTGGATGGAAAACTGAGGTTTTCCAGGTTGTGTTTTTATAAAACAATAGAAGTGGAGAAGTGTTAATAAATGTCAGAGAATGATTGTAATGCTGGATTGTGGGGATTTCAGTTGGATAAGGAGGGGAGAGAGGATATCGAAGAGAAAATAAAATATAATGAAAAGGTGGAAGGATGGATGGACTCAAGATCTTGGCAGAATTGAACGATTTTTGAAGTTGATATGCTAGAACTAGTAGGTAATGTTCAGAAAAGAGAATGAATAAAAATTAGACTATGAAGGCACTGCAGTAATAAAAGGATATGGTCATAGGGTGAATGGTTGTGTAAGGTATAGGTCAAGATCATTAGATAGAAAAGCCCAAGGAACTTACAGGTGAGGTTGTTGGACTAATTGTCATTAAAGGCAAGAGTAATTTTTGAATAAACAGGAACTACACAGGTAAAATATCCTTAAGTTTAATAGATGATAGCAGCAGCAAAAAATAGTGAGTAATTAATTTAGTGATGAGATTCATAGCTTGAAGGAGACTTCTTAGGGAGAAGGAGGAAGTATGAATTACCTGTAAGAAGGAATAAATAGCCAAGAGAATTAACCTAAACCCCATGGCCAGATATATAGGGGTGGTAGCACCACTTGAAAGAGCGATAGGGTAAGATTGTCAATAAAGGAAGAAGGTGACCGAAGCATTTCAGAGAATTGGTTTAAGATAGAGGGTCAATGATAGAGTTTTAGAAGTTGAGGAGAATTGGAAAGAGTTAAAAAGAGGAGTATGTCGTGCCTTATAAGTATAGAAATCTAAACATGATAGATAACCTGAGTCTGGCTTTCTTGTGATGAAAACATTCAAGGAACAATGAGCATTTGATCTAATAGACTTACAGCAAATAGTAGTGGTGAGCTTGAGAGGGTTAAAAAGAGACAAAGGATGGCTTTTGGAACAACCTTTAGAGTCTTGCTATTTGAGGCAAGGATGTCTAGGGATGTACCATCTTAGTCCCAATGTGAGATACTCACTTTTGACTTCTGTCAACAAAACTGAGGATTTCTGAGGAAGCCTAACGTTTCCTCAAACTCGCACACCCACTTTGTGTAGTAAGAGGACTTGGGGATATGCACTTGTGTGAAGAGCATAGCATCTTATATTTAGTTGCCCTTTTCCCCATCACACTTTACATTTCTTACAATACTAGAAGGCGAGGAGACACAAAGAAATATAAATATAAGAAGACCCAGTACAATGTGGCATAAATACAGTGCATATCTAACTTGTATCAGTTATTGCTGTATTAAACAAATGAATGTAGTCTTATTTGTTTTCTTTCAGCTTTTATATTCTACTCACATGAAATCTTTTGACTGGGGCAGTCCTCATCTTAACTTGGTTCATTTTAATCAGGTACATAATTATATATAAACTAAAAGTCATTTCTTCCTAATCGACTTAGATGATTTTGTTCTAGATCCAGGGTTATCTATAAATCTCCACAGTGTAATAACACTCTAAGAAGGACTGGAAGATGACAATTGTATTGACTTAATTTATATTATCACATCTAACCAAAGCAGCTTTTCCATGTTTCTACTTATTGTAATATTATCAGGGAAAAATCTAGAGAAATTGACAGGAAGTAAAATAATTCATCACCTCTTGAGAGGAAAAGTATAATGTTGTATTATGTATAGCTCTCTAGTTCATTAAATAGAAAATAAAAGATAAACTATATTTCTTGACCCTAAACCCAGTTATCCCATTTGGGAAATAGAATAAGCACATGTATAACCAGGAATGACTTAGAAGTTAATGCGAATGTGCTAAGAATGTTATAAGTATGATGACAAAATTCTTGAAATATTAAGATCCAAGTCTGTCTGACTTCAAAGTTTATACTTTTTCACCACACTTTTCTGTCTTGGCTAAACTCTAGGCCTAATTTTGTCTACTCATTAAAATATTTGAGCTAAAATTTGAAGATCAAATTTAATGAGATCAGAGTTGACCTTGACTGCCAATATGTATAATTTATTAATAAATATAGTCAGAAAATTTGATTAAAATATTTTTAAGTAATTCTGAAATTACCTCTATGGTAATGCTTAAATACTCTCAGAACAAACTACGTATCTAGTTTTGTTGTTGTTGTTGTTTGTTTATTTGTTTTTGTGGTACTGGGGATTGAACTCAGGACCTTGTACTTGTGAGGCAGGCATGGTGCCACTGAGCTAAATCCCCAGCCCTAATGTGTGTGTGTGTGTGTGTGTGTGTGTGTGTGTGTGTGTGTACCTGGGCTGGATCTCAGGACCTTGCATTTGCCAGGCAGGTGCACCACCACTGAGCTAAATCCCTAGCCCTACATATTTAGTTATGATTTATGTTTGATTTATTTCCAAGTAAAACTTACAGTGCCTATTCTTTCATACTCTTTGCTTTCATAGATCTATTAAGTTGAATCCACTAGATTCAGCTTATTTCAAAGTAGTATTTAAATTCGCTATTGTAAAACTTATCAATAGAACATTCTAACGTGTTATTTTCTGTGGGACCCTTTTTTTCCTCATTTATTTTTAGACAACTTCTCCATTGTACAGTATAGCAAATATGAATGTACCAACTGCAACTTGGAATGGTGAAAGTGACTTGTTGGCTGACCCTGCTGATTTTAAAACCTTACAGTCTGAAATTACCAATCTCATTTACCGTAAGACTATTTCTTATTACAATCATATAGACTTTTTGTTTGGATTAGATGTCTACCATCAAGTTTTCCATGAAATCATTAATATCATTCAAGACAATCTATAAAGAACTGTAGTACTCTGCGTTTACAGACCTGTACTATTGTTATTAAAAATCTATTATTACTATGTAAATTTTCTCACATATTTAATAAAGTACAAAATAATTTTCTCTTTATTTTTTCCTTTCCTTATGTCTCTTGTTCATTACATTTATAGTTATTTCAAGAGAAATGATAGATTATAAATCAATTAAAAATTTATTGAGTTTATTAACAGAATTAAATAAGTAGTACCAGAAACAATAATCTTAACCATTTCTAATTGCAAGAAATAGCTTTTTAAGAAAATTTTTATTTTCTTCAAAAGAATATGAATTTACATTTTTTTTGGTAAAAATAAAAAAATAGGAGATAAGATGTTAACTTGCTTACCTAATCATTTTACTATGTATATGTGTGGTAACATTTTTTACATCTTAAATATATACAATACAAAAAATTGTTTTGAAAAATGTGTATGCTGGTGATGTTGGTCGGAATTTTCTTCACATTTCAATGAGATCATGTGGGTCAATGGAACTGTCAATTCTATATGCTTTCTTTGTATGATTTCTTTATTAAAAAAGAGTATTACATTTTCAAGTATAATTATGGAATTGTATTTTTACCTTACACTGCTTTCAGTTTATTTCTTCAGAAATTCTTATGCTCTCTTAGGTGCATGAACAGAATTTTTGCCCTTGATTACTTTGATTCAGTTGTCATTACATGATCTGCTTTATTTCTGCTAATGGTCTTTTTTATAAAATTTACTTTGTCTATTTATTACTAATATGGCAACTCTAACTTTTTTTATTACTGAGACCTTAGTGTAAATTATATTATTAAAATTATAGTTGTTTAACTTATTCACTTTTTAACATGTAAAGGGAGTTTCTGCTAAGAAATAGAGTTGGGTCTTTTAACTCAACCCATTCCTGTTGTTAACTGACTATTGTAGTGCGGTTAGAAAAAATGGAGCTGAAAAAGTTACTCCTTTCCCTCTATATAATTTTAAACAGTACCCTAGAGCCATTCCTTCTTCCAGTGTCCTAATGGAGGCAGAGAATCACATAACAAATAAAAAGTAAACCTCTGATGCTGTAAGCAAGAGCACATTCTTGTTGGATTTCAAGTTACCTTCACCCTGATCCAACCTTATAAGCATTCATGAATAAGCACTACAGCTCCTGAATGTAATTGAGATCAGAGCAAATTCTGATTGACAGGGGTAGGGATCGTGGAAATGGGACATTGCCAGAACCCCTGCAGTGGGACCTGCTCTCCTGTGAGCCACAATAGCACAAGGTGAATTAAACAATAAAGACAGGAATCAAGACTTAGAGAAGAAGCTGGGCTCTGGGACTGATCAATGGTGATATGAAGAGCAAAGATAAAGGCACCTCAAGCTTGCCACTATTTATTAGGTTCATAGGAAGTAACAGATGATTCAGAGGGTGGTGATAATCCTAAATTGACAAGGATTTTATAATAAGAGGAAGTATTATATATCTCGGATCTTATGCCAATAAGGATCTTAGGTTGATTAGGATGGTAAGATGATCAAAGAAGTTCTTACAACAGTAGGTGGGATGAGTTAAACTCCTCAGATAAAATATTTCTCTTAATACTTGGTTCTCAAGGAGCCAGGATGTCCTCAGCTGATGTAATCTTGCCCTTGAGTGTCAGCATCGTGGGACCATTGAGGTCTCAGCTACGACAAAAATGGAGTTATGTTTCAGCAAGTCATAGCTGGCCTGTAGGCAAGAAGACTAGGCCTAATCATATTTAATTGTGAAATGATTTCTCCCCAAAGCCATGTAGAATGGCTCCCAACAGGCATGTATCCATGTTGTGAGCCCTTGAAATAGCACCCTGTTAATCCACCTGGGCTCAGGTTACATATCTGTTAAATTTCAAAAGCTTGATTTGTCTGGCAGCTGATACGCTGTGCTGTGTTATATGATCTGTGTGCAGTACTGCTTTTTTGTCACCCTGGCACCACTTTTATGTTTGTGCTATACATTTTTTTTCTTTTTTGGTATCAGGGGGATTGAACTCAGGTCCTTGCACTTGAGAATCAGGCAGCACCACTGAGCTAAATCCCTGGCTATGTGCCATATATTTTGTTGGCATAGATTTGCCCTGAGCACAACGTCCCATGATTTTCAATAAAATAGCTGCTTTACACTTGCTTTCAGGTGTACACTTTTTAATTCTTTGCTTGTCATACACAAAAACCTGACTTATATCTGCTGAGTTCATCATGTAACAATTGTGTTTAGATCATTTATATTTATTGTGATTATTGATTTACAAATTATAAATCTTACATTAATTTTTTTGGTCCAAATATTTTCATTTGTTTTGGTTACTGTATTATTATATGTTGATTCTGTATTTTTATGATTTAATTTTATCTCCTTTACTGTCTCATTAGGAATACCATATTATTTTTTGTGTTGCTGCTTTTAGAGGTTTATAGTATGTATCTCTTGGTATTTATGCTATTTTTACCTTTTTACCTGTAAATGTTATGTTTCAGATGTGTTGCTAATATTTTTCTTTACAAATATTTATCTTTTGAAATATATTTATAAAAAAAACATGTTTTATGCTAATTGAATTAGTATTATTTCTGATGTTTATCAATTTTTTGTATAGACCTAATTTCCAGTTAATATGTTTTTTTTTTTTTTTTACAATGAGGGCTTGCTTTAATATTTCTTTTATTGGACCGGGGATTTAGTTCAGTGGTTCCGGTGCCTGCCTCACAAATGCCAGGACCTGAGTTAGATCCCTGGTACCAAAAATCTATTGCTGGTATTAATTTATTGTTACCTTATGTCTGAAGAATGTTTATTTTCCTTTTGATCTGGAATTATTTCTTCTTGTTTTTTACATACTAAAAGGTTTTATTCTTAATGTTTTCTTTTATACTGGCTTTGGTGTTAAACACATTGAAATATATTTTCTTAGAGAAAATAATTTATATTTTTAATGAGACTATACTTTCCTTACATTGTTCAAAAATATTATTTTACAGCATAGTATTATTTCCCAGTACATCTATAGTTAAGTACGAGAAAAGCCATTGTCAATTAAGATTTTTAAAAATTACCTCAGGTAATAATGCCAGGGATTTAGCTCAGTGGCACTGCGCTGGCCTCACAAGTGCAAGGTCCTGAATTTTATCCCAGGTACCAAAAAAAAAAATTACCTCAGCAAAAAGATTAAATTCTAGTCTAAGATTTGTTTGAATTCCTCTTTACAAACACTAATAGAGGAATCTAACAAGCTGTCAAGGAACACAATCCCAAGCAGAAATCACAGAAGTTGATGATGTGCCAGGACACCTCTACTCTGAAATAAGTGATTACCCACAAAATGCTAACTCTTCAGTACTGTACTACTAAGGGTTAAGTATTCATATCATTCTAAAAATCATTTTAAACTGTATTACTGTGTTATATATTTTCCACTTTAGTAAAAATCAGATTGAATTTCTCTACAGTGCTCTGAAAGAAAATAGACTTGTTTAAAAATATCCATAGTAGCTAGTGCTTTGCTGATTGTTTTCCTGGATTTTTAAATTCCATCAAAGCAGGGGCCAGTGATTTCGCTCACTGGCACCGCACCTGCCTGGTACCAATAAATTTCATCAGAGCAGTACTTTGGAAAAGTTTCTTTAGCTTAAATTTAGTGTCTCTATTTTGAACTCTTTGTAAAGGAACTCTGTGTTCATTCTTTTAGCCTGAAACTACAAAATAAGGCTAAAAATGTTGTTGTTGCCTGCTACCATTAGACCCTTTGTGGCAGCAGGGAGTGGAGCACATCTTTGGTCATCTAATCTGGACCCTTGACATTTTACAAGGATGTCAAAGCCCTCATTAGGTCCTTTCTATCCTTGGTCACTAGGTGGCTAAGTAATGGAATCATTTCAATACATGAATATAGAATGTACTAGTCAAATCTAGCTTCTGTTTATTTAACTCTAGTACTTGCTACTCTATATTCAGGTAGACTTTTAAACTTAAAAAAGACAGAAAACATATATTTGTCTTTCTGTGGCTGGCATATTTAATAGCATAATGTCCTCTGGTTCCATCTATTTAGTACAAATGGCAAATTGTTACTCTTTATGGTAGAGTACTAATCCATTGTGTATATACATTTTTCTTTTTGACCCTTTCCTTCCTGTACTAATGGACTTCCTATTAAGCATATAGAAGTCTACTTGATGATGCCCTGTTGGACTCTGAGGTTTGGTTCTTGTTTCTTCATTCTTTTGTCTTTTTCTTCTTCATGATGGATAATTAAAACTTGCCACGGGGTTCTGAAAGCTTGCAACCCCCCGCCCCTTAGAGCATGCAGTTCCCTAGCTATGCACTAGATTTGGTATATGAAGGTCAGCTTTCCCTGAGAGGCTTGCCAGTTCAAGCCTTTTAAATTGCTATGGTCAGGCCTGAAAAGTCACACAGGTTGCTGTTTGTTTTTTATTAGGCGCCAGATGCCTCAAGATAACTGTGATATTCTTTACAAAATCTAACCTTCCCTAATTTAATTTTCCCCTATTAGTATGTCAGGATCTTTCACACTTAGAGATTCCATGAATAAACATAATAATAAACTGAGTGTAAAAATTATATTTACTTCTACAATAAATCACACAAAGCACTTCACAACCAAATTGCATACAATTTATAATTTTTTAAAAATTTAAAGCATCCAGAAAAAGAAGATATTGCATATATGAGAAAAAAAATGATAGTGATTGCAGATTTCTTGGAAAAAATGCAAGGCAAAAACAAAAGAAAAAGAAAGAGAGAGAAAAAAGAGACAAGTGGAGTAGTGAGCCCTAAAGCTCAGTGCAGTGTCTTGTGCTCGTCTGTCAGGAGGCTGAAGGGTCTGCGGGGGAACATTGAAGAGTGTGCCCTGGAAGTCAAAAGACAACGTCCAACTACAGATGAAGATGGAGTTTTTCCAAAGAAACAGAAGCAAGGCTTCCTTTTATTTTGATATTGGG